TTTTAGGAGTTTTAAAGTTTCGGGTTCTTTCGGATATCCATTTAAGTTCGGGTTCGGTTCGGATAATACCCATAATCCAAAATACCGTAAAACAAGATCCATTCGGTACTTATGTCGGGTTCGGATCGGTTCGGGTTCCTTTTTATCGGGCCGGATTCGGTTCGGATTTTCGGGTTCGGTTTTTTTGCCCAGCCCTAATCTTAATGCTACTGTAGATAAATTTGATATTTGTCCAACAGCATATTTGATAATGAATTGATTATCAAAAGGAAATATTGATTAATCTTATGCGTTAAGTGTTTTGAATTGTGTTGTTTAAATTACTTTTTTAAACCATAGAAACAATATGGAGACTTTACACCATTAACCTTTTATATATTTCAATTACCTACAACTAAGACTATTTTAAAAATAATTTTAATTGAACTATTTATAAATTGAATATTTTTTTAGCAAAATATTTTAAAGAACTATAATTATTGAATCATAAATATTATTAGTCAGAATTTATGACAAAAATAAAATTATTATTCACTAATAAGTCAAACACCAATGTTACAAAAAAACATAAAATAGATGTTAAATTTTTTTTTTGATCTTTTAATTTTTTGTAAAGATAAAACATCAAATAAACACTAGTCAATGCTTAGTTTCAATAATAAACGTTCAACAGAGTAATTTTCTCTAAGATAAATGATAGATATAATATAACTTTCAATTTGCAAAGAAAGCAGATTTTTTTTGTGAGGTATTAACTAGCATAGTCTCTTTTCGCTCACCTCCAACTTCTCTCTAAAAGTTTCTGTAAAAACATAAACATCGTGTATGGTGGCCGGTGACCTTCGCTGCCGGTTACCATTTCATTTCTTTTGTTTTTTTTTTATGTAAATATTTCCGGTTGCAGATCTCTTTTTCACTACGTGACTTGTAGTTTCACAGTGGCGATATTTTTGCAGTGTTTTTTCAGTCTCGATTGAAGACAGATCTTCATAGCTTTTTGTTGATTCTTCGATGGGACCTGATGTTATCTAAATCCTCCTCTTTCGCAGCTCGTTATTCAGATCTCGGTTTGCCAAAATTGAGCCTCTGCTACTTTCTCGGATACACAGTTAATCTTTCTCTATAGGAATCAATCTTCACTCACCCAAAAAGTGGTGGCGCTGAATCGGTATAGAAGTGAAGTCTCCTTGACAAGGAGGAGGAAGTGTTGATAAATTAATTTCGGCTAATTCTAATGGCGATTTAGATGAGTTGGCATGTTCCTATGTGAAGGTGGTTCGATAAGATTGTTTATTGGAATGGTTGAATCTTCTGAAAGTTTATTATCCGGTGGTGATGGTTGCTTCTTCAAAAGATAGGAGATACAAGGAGTTCACAATCGGACCCAGCAACGAAGCTTTGTTTCACGGCGGAGTTGTGTTTTGTATCATTCCATGCGGTGGCGCGTGGGAGAGTGTTTATAACCCTTTTACGTTTCACGCAAAAAGAGGTGTGGACATGTGTTAAGGCTTATCTCTCAAGAGACACGTGGAAGTTTATGGGACGATAGAAGAGACTCGAAGACTTGTTGAGTTAAAATGAGCATGATATTTAATGTCTGTTTCTTTTGAAAATGGGTCATATGTACTTCTCTTATGTAATGCACAGTTGGGCTTCTCTATCGAAAGAGAAAGTTGACAACAAAAAGAAAACTAGCATAGACCCCGTTGGGCCGCCCAATTGGGCTGAGTGTAGAAAGAAACTGTATTCCGGAAAGACCCACACGACGTTGAAAGAATATCTCATAAACGTCAATATTACTCATTTCTTTCCCATCTTTTTTTTCTTTGGTAATCAAAGCCAATAGACTAAGGGAACCATTTTTTTTCTTTCCCATCTTCATCCAGCTAAAACCCTCTCTATCCATCTCCTCTGAGAAAATGGTTTCTGTTTCTTGCTCTTGTACTGTTTCTAGCTTTCGCTCCGTAGAATTTGGAGCTCCTTCCTTTTGTGCCGGAAGTCATGTGCGACTCACTACCCGTGCGATTCAAATCGGACAAGGTAAGCCGTATAAGTTTTTCTATGTTCTTGATTATGAAGGTATATCTATACCAAGTCCGAAAATTTTCGATGCAAGTAATTTTATTGGGAAATTAGATAATTTTATTCGGCCTTGTTTCTACCGCTTAGTAGGTTATTTCATAAACTCGAAGAATAAAAGACCTCACCTGTTCGCTGTTTCCGCTGTTGTGGATGATAAAAGTGTTGTAACGCCTAAAGAGAAGAAAGAAGAAAGTGTGGTAGATGACCAGAAGATGGTCAAAGTTTGTGACAAGCTCATTGAGGTTTTCATGGTTGACAAGCCCTCACCATCTGATTGGCGAAGGCTGTTAGCTTTCAGCAAAGAGTGGGATAGCATCCGCCCCCATTTCTACAAAAGGTGTCGGGATCGAGCTAATTCTGAGGATGATAACCCGGAGATTAAGCACAAGGTTTTTCGTCTTGCAAGAAAGCTTAAGGAGGTTGATGAAGATATTCAAAGGCACAACGAGCTTTTAAATGTCATCAAGAGGACATCACCTGCTGATATTGGCCAACTTGTTGCCAGGCGACGTAAAGATTTCACTAACGAGTTTTTCGACCATTTGCACACTGTTGCCGAATCTTACTATGACAATCCGGATGAGCAGACTGGTAAAATGCTTTTACCTGTTTGTTTTGGTTAAAACAGTACTGATTTTGTTTTGTTTTTTTATTTTTCTGAAAGCTCTTGCATCACTTGGAAAATTGTGTATCGCGGCTGTACAAGCTTATGACACTTCAACAGAAAGCATTGATGCACTAAACGCCGCGGAAATGAAGCTACAAGACATAATCAATTCACCTTCTCTTGATGCTGCCTGCAGAAAGATTGACAGTTTGGCTGAGAAGAATCAGCTTGACTCGGCGTTGGTTCTTATGATCACAAAAGCTTGGTCTGCTGCAAAGGAATCTAACATGATGAAAGATGAGGTACTAAATGAATGATTTTACATTTTTTCTTGGACTAAATCTATTTTGAGCCATCTTGTATTGTTTCTTGACAGGTGAAAGACATATTGTATCATTTGTACGTTACAGCCAGAGGGAATCTGCAGAGGCTTATGCCTAAAGAGGTGCGAATTCTTAAGTATCTACTATCCATAGAGGATCCCGAGGAACAGATGAGCGCTCTACAAGACGCTTTTACCCCTGGGGAGGAGCTTGAAGGGACTGATGTTGACTACTTATACACGTAAGAACAGAGAAAACTAGTACTGAGTTTTACATTATAGATATAGAATCTGAGGATGTTTCTGTATAGGACACCTGAGCATTTGCAGAGCTTGATAAATACGGTGCTGGAGGCGTATCATTTCAGTAGAGAAGGGAGTTTAGTGAAGGAAGTTAAGGACCTTATGCATCCTGAGCTTATTGCCAAAATGGAACAACTCAAGCAGGTTGTTGAGAAGAAGTATATGTGATCGAGATTTTAAAAATCCTAAGCTCTTTGTTAGTTTTTTTAATTTTTTTTTATTGTCTGCGTATGTATATGGTGTTTTACATTCTCCAGGTTTCACTATTTACTAGATTTTGATGCGTGTTTTCAAAGTGCGGATTTATGTTTGATGCAAACTTTATATAATTGCATTTCTTGTACATGTAAAATGTTGAATAGAAATGTTTGGTTCATTTAATTCATCAAACATAGTGTCAAACATAGTATTTTAAAAAGTGTAGGATAATTTTTTGGTGAAAATTTTATATTATTGTTTTTTTGTTTTATATAAAGTAGGCATGTACATAAAATCTATAACTCGGCGTTTGAGCTCAATCGAAACAAAAAATATTGGATCCGTAACTGGTCAAAAATGTAAAATACATCAGAATGAGTTTTGTAGGGTGGTACAAAACATATCTGAATCCGAAGGGTTATTAGTCAAACCCGAACGAATAACCCAAAAATCGTAAAACCTGGAAAATATCTGAATTGATTTTTGAATGTCAAAATTAATCATAGAAAAAGAATATTTGAAACATAAATATCTACTTTAAATACTCAGTTTTATATTTATTTTAAAATGATATTTAAAATAATTATTTAAATTTTAAATAAGTATTTTAATATCCAATTCTATAAAAATAAGTATCTTTTTTGTTTTGGTTTTAAATTTTAGATTTCCAAACCAATATAACCAAATCCGAACGATATATGGTACTTTATCGGTTTTAAGATGTGTACAAATTAGAACCAAACCCAACGTGTTATGTTTAAATCTGATCCATACTAACAAACACGCTTACTTACAAATTATAACACCTATGATGTGATAGATTTTAGAACTGATTCAAAATATTCGACTTGTATCCCAATAGGTACTTGAACTCCCAATCATAAGTTAAATTATGTTTTAGATTTTTTAAATTAATTATTTGTTTGATAAATATTTTGTATGTTTATTGGAATACCCGTAAAATTATAATCAGAAAATATCAATAATAACATGTTTCATCATATAATTAAATATTAATAGTAGCTATTATTAATATTTATTTTATAAAAAAATTATATATATATATATATATAAACGATTTTAAGACTGTATATATGATAATTATATTATTATGTATTAGCGGAGGTTTGAAGAATTTTTTATTATTATTTTGTGTATCAGTTACATATAATTAAATATTAATTTTTTATAACCTAAAGTTTTAATTTAGATATGTATATTAAAATATAAAATTATTTTTATTTTAAATATCTCATGGTAGTATTTTGTTTTAATAAGTTGAAGTATGTTGTAAAGTATATACATATATGTTATTCAGTAAATTAATTCATTTAGTTTATAACGTATTAAAATAAATTAATTTATTTTATAATTATTATTTCATGAAATTTTTAATTACAAATATGAAATATTTATATATAAATATTATAGAAGGTTATTTCTTATTCTATAAATCAAAATGAGTTAATATTCATTTGTAATTAAATTTAATATTATTTTACATTTTTATTATTAAAATAATATTAAAACAATAAATATATATTTTTTAAATAAAAATATATTTAATATATTGTTAAAATGTAAACTGGAAAAGTAGTTAAACTGATCTTTTGATATCTTATTTTGAGTATATATAAATAATAACTATTATTACTCTCTATCATATGGTTGGCGGAGTATCATATCTGCTAAATTTCTGGTTAGCAAATGACTAATTAAAAAGTGGGATCAGGATCATCTTTCTCCGTACGGAACATCTCTGACTCCCAACCACTCGCCCGAGACCAGCAAATAAAAAACATTATAACTGTTACCTGGACCTTACAGTTGAGTCTCTCTGACTCTCTCATTGATTCAGCTTCGCGAACATGGAATTCGCATGTTATTCAGGATTTAGTGGTTCCCCATGATGCAAAAAGAATTGAAAGTATACTTTTGAGCACGACTCACATGGTGAATCGAAATAGATGGCATTTCACAAATAACATCAAATATACGGTCAAATCGTGATATCAAGTAAAACGAGTTTACCCATATAAGGAAAAACCAGCAGCAGTGTTTGGACCCACACTTGACATACTAAAAGCGTTCTGCTGGAAAGTCCGGTGTCCCCCAAAGATTAAACACTTTTTATGGCAATTGGTATCGAGATGCATAACAGTTAAAAATAATCTGAAAGCGAGAGGGCTACAAGGGGATGTAGTTTGTGACAGATGTGGAGCTTCAGAGGAATCTGTAAACCATGTGTTTTTAATGTCCTCCAGCTCGCCAGGTTTGAACCTTGTCAAAGATACCTTCAAATCCATCGATTTTTTCCCTCGAGTGCCCTCCTTACGAATACGGATCATCTATTTCGGAGAATTCAAGTGAAATTGGACGATCATCAGTTTGCGTGGATTCTTTGGTACATTTGGAAAGGTAAGAACAATAAGGTTTTCAGTAACATAGATGTGGACCCAAAGAAAACGCTTAGATATGCGGAAATGGAAGCAATAATGTGGGCTGATGCACAAGTACTAAACACACACATAGCAACACAACAAGTAGAGGTTTCAAATTTACCGGCCATTCGAGGGCGTTGGTGTTTTACGGATGGTTCGTGGAAAGATAAGGATAAGTTCTCAAGACAAGGGTGGTTCAAAACCCTGGACGGTTTTGATGGATTGATGGGGGCAATGAACGTCCGGGCTAATCTCTCCCCTCTACACGCGGAGGTGGAAGCGCTACTTTGGACAATGTAATTTATGAGGAATTTGCGTCAATTTTGAGTTACGATTACAACAGATTGTTCTCAACTGATGAAGATGGTTTAAGAACCAGAAGAATGGCTTGCTTTTGCAAGTTATTTGGAAGATTCAAGATCCTGCAAGACAGTTTCCTCAGCCTAGAGAACATTCATGTACCACAAACGAAGAATTTGAAGATGGATAGTCTAGCACGAAGTGTCATGACGCAATCGTCTTTCGTTGTTCACATGGATGAAAAGATACCGGTCTGGTTCACAGAGTCAGTATGAATCTGTTTAAGTTGATGACAAAAAAATAATAATAATATTTTAGTATTATCATAACTAAGTTTGTTGTATGTAGCATTTCAACCTATACTACTTTTAAGTAGATAAAAATTACTTCTGTTTTAATAGTATTGATTAACACCTATTTGATACCACCTTTTTCTTTTGTGCACGATCATCTTAAGACTTTTTTTTTTGTCGAAACCTTAAAGACTAAAGACTATAGATAACTTCTTATTTTATATCTTTGGGATATAAAATTGGGCTTTTTGGAAATTTAAACTCAAAACTCAAAGTCTTACGCGTTTCTCAACAACAAGGAATGGACCTTGGTTCATGATAGGAGATTTTAATGAGATTACATGTCATGCAGAGAAGGAAGGAGGCAGACAACGCCCTGATAGTTCATTTCTGCCCTTTAAACAGATGCTAAGTGATTGTGGTATGCTAGAGTTCCCTTATACAGGGAACATGCTATCTTGGGTTGGAAATAGAGCAGGAAGGACGACAGTTAGATGCCGACTTGATAGGGCTGTTGGGAATGAAGACTGGCATGAAAAATTTCCTCATTCCAAAGTGAAGTATATGAGACTCTGGCGATCGGATCATCGTCCGATACTAGCTGATATTCTGAGGAAGAAACCTAGGAGAACAAGAAATTTCAAATTTGATAAGAGATGGTTAGATAATGAGGAGCTCAGGCAAATTATACTTGAGGGATGGAAGTCACCGGACCTCCCACCAGACGCAAGTATAATGGAGCACATTGCAAGCTGCAGACGAGCATTAAGCGAATGGAAGAGGCAGCATAATCTGAATTCAGAGAAGACAGTGGAGGAGCTAAAGGAAAAGGTCGACCGCTTATCCTCCAATGATGATGCCACTACTGAGGAGATTGCAGCAGCTATTAAGGAACTATCTGACGCTCTTAGGGCGGAGGAGATGTTCTGGAAACAGAAGTGTCGGGTTTTCTGGTTGAGAGAGGGAGATAGGAATACTAAATTTTTTCATGCCCTCACGAAGCAAAGGAGAGCAAGGAATATGATTACCCAATTACTGGATGAAGATGGAAATGTTGTGGAGGATGAGGAAGGATTGGTAGCCATTGCTACAAATTACTTTAGACACATCTTTCAATCTTCAAATCCTGAGGCAATAGAGGAAGCACTCTCTGAAGTATCTACCACAATTACCTCAACAGATAATGCGACTCTAACAGCCCCGGTCACTGAGTGGGAGGTTAAATTAGCTCTCTTCGCGATGCATCCAGAGAAAGCGCCAGGACCGGATGGAATGACGGCGCTGTTCTACCAGAAATTCTGGGATATTGTAAAGGAGGATCTAACTCTTATGGTTAATCAATTCCTTTTCGAGGGAACGGTGCCATCGGGCCTAAATGATACCAACATATGTCTCATTCCAAAAGTGGAGAAGCCAAATCAGATGAGTCAGCTCCGCCCTATTAGCTTATGCAATGTTAGCTACAAGATTATCTCTAAGGTCTTATGCCTGAGATTAAAGAAGTTTCTTCCAGATAGGATCTCAGAGACTCAGTCAGCCTTTGTCGCTGGGAGACAGATATCTGATAACATTATGATAGCTCAGGAATTGTTCCATGCTCTGAGAACAAAACCGAGTTGCCGGAATAAGAGGATGGCTATCAAAACGGATATGAGCAAGGCGTATGATAGAATGGAATGGTCCTTCATTGAGGCCACCATGCGAAAGATGGGTTTTTCTGAAGTTTGGATAACTATGATAATGAGATGTGTAACTTCAGTAAAATATAAGGTCCTTATGAATGGACAGCCACGAGGGAATATTGTCCAGGAAAGAGGTTTACGACAAGGAGATCCTCTGTCTCCTTTCATTTTTATTCTGTGCACGGAAGCGCTCGTTAGCCTTCTAAATCATGCAGAGAATCAAGGGAAGATAACGGGGATGCGCATTACACGTGCGTGTCCCTCGGTATCTCACCTTCTCTTTGCTGATGATAGTCTGTTTTTCTGTAAGGCGGAGCCCCGTGAATGTGAAGAAGTAATGAAAGTGGTCACGATGTATGGACAAGCTTCTGGACAATGCATTAATTTTGAGAAGTCTTCTTTACTCTTTGGT